TCCAAATTCTCTCTTTTAATTGGGAGAAAACAATCTTCTTTTTTCTACCAACAATAGTGGGCATTCCCAAGTATTTCTCATGCTTTTCCACTTCATCTACCTGGAGCAAATTCATAATGTCAAGCTTTTTATCAAGAGTCACATTCTTGCTAAAAGATATTTGAGATTTGTTTAGATTGATTTTCTGCCCGGAAGCTATCTCATATTTTTTAATTATATCAGCAACAATTGAAGCCTCGTGGGCATTTGCCCTAGCAAACAAGATACTGTCATCCGCAAAAAAAAGGTGGGATATACGAGGGGCTCCCCGACACACTCGAACTCCATGTAAACTCCCCTCATGAGCCGCCTTAGTTAAGAGTTTTGAAAAAGCTTCAGCACAAATAAGGAATAAATAAGGAGATATGGGATCACCTTGGAGTAAACCCCTGGACGGTCGCACACTGCCTTGCACCTTTCCATTAATTACAAAAGAATAGCTTACTGTAGTCATACACTGCATAATCTTCTCCACCCACAGGTTGTCAAAACCCATCTGAACCATAACATGTTGGATAAATTTCCACTCTACCTTGTCGTATGCCTTGCTCATGTCAAGCTTTAGCGCAAAAGAGCCTACTTTCCCTTCACTTTTCCTCTTCATGGCGTGAAACACCTCAAAAGCAATCAAGGCATTATCAGTAATGTATCTACCAGGAACAAAAGCACTCTGGTTTTCTGATATTATTTTTGGGAGTAGAACTTTCAGGCGGTTAGACAACATTTTAGAGATAACCTTGTAAACTACATTACACAAACTGATGGGTCTATAATCTGAAATCTGTTTTGGCCTTTGGCATTTGGGAATTAATACAATATTAGTGTAATTGATTTCCCTTATGTCAAAATATCCTGTCCACCACAGATTTACCATCTTTATTATATCACTCCCTACAATGTTCCAGAATTTTTGGAAAAACATTGCATGCATACCGTCTCGTCCTGGGGCTTTGTTTGGGTGCATTTGAAATAGGGCTGCCTTGATCTCCCCTGCAGATGGTGCTTTGAGCAATCTCTCATTCACTAACGGGCATTAACCCAATAGTTACTCATAGTAGCTCTTATAGTAGCTCTTATAGTAGCTCTTCCCCTGCTACCAAGTGACAATTTGATATTTTATATTCACTTCGATAATTTTAGTAGACAAGTGCATGAAAAACCTTCAAGTTTGAGAATGTTTGGGTTAAAGATGAGGACTGTCGTGTGGTAGTTCGACACAACTGGGAAGATCGGTGGCATTATGGAATTTGGCAGCGCGTAACAAATTGTGGCAAGGCTTTAGAAAATTGGAGTAGAAAGAGTAAATCGGATTTCCCAGCTAGAATTGATCAATGAAGAAGACGGATGGCCTATTTGTGGGACAAATATGACAAATGATGAATGACTCGATTCAGGATGGTGAAGATTACTCTCTTATAGAGCTCCTTAAACAACAAAATGACAACATAGGTTTTGAAGATTGTGGGAGGCCGAAGGTGTTTAATTATTGCCAAAAAAATGAGGGACACTCTCTTCTTAACGGGGTTAATGGCACCAATATGGTTTTGATTCCTAAAAATGACAATTCCTATAACCTTGTGTTAAGCGGTTTTTAAAAATTTTACCATGTTGTTAGCTAATCGGATAAAAGGGTGCCTTAAATAATCAACCAACTTTGGCCAAATCCGGGGGGGGGGGGGGATGAATATCACGGCTTTAGTCAAGGATGGAATATTCATAGAGTTCGGTCTATCTTTAATGAGTATCCCAGTTGGCCAGAGGGAGGTACCTGGCGGGTTTTTTGTGGGATGGAGACCAATGTTGTTAAAATCTCGGTTTAAATTGTAAAATTGTACGATTTTACGATTTTACATCAATAAACCGATTCAAATCGCAGGTAAAATTGTAAACCAATAAAATTGTACAAGATTGTAATAAAATCGTACAAAATCATGTAGAATTGTATAAAATCACAGCAAAGTCGTAATAAGTTTTTTTTTAGTGAAAATGGTTCAATTTTGTTAAAATAAACTGCTTGAAACTGATATATAATTCCAATAATAATATCAATAATATATTTATGAAACTAATGGATTCTTGTGTGATTTAATTATTTTTATGTGTTACATATGTTTATTATTATTATTCACTACATTTACATTCTAAAAATAATTGATAGATATTGTCTATGACCTTGTAGGTATAGTTTTATGTAATGAAATGACATAATATTATTCACTTGGAGTTTTATTTTAATATTTATTTATTTTATAATTATTAATATATGTTTGATAAAATCTTATGATTTACGATTTGATTTCCCGTTTCGTTTTTGAAAATTTCTACCGATTCAATTCAGAAACACGATTTTAAAAACCTTGATGGAGACTCCAGGGGTAAATATATGGTAACATCGAGATATAGGAAGGTGGTCGGTGAGTTTGCGGAGGATAGGTGGTCGGGCTGGACAAAAATGTGAGGTTTTTTTTGTGTAACCATAGATTACACATTTTTTCTGTCATGTTATGGCAAATGTGTTACCGACGACGGACAAGTTAAGGAAAAGGAAGGTTGATATTCCAAGCGTATGTCGTCTTTGTCACGAAGAAGAAGAATATGTGATTCATTTGTTTGGAGTAAAGCCATGATGGATCTACGACGGACGACTAATTCTTTGTAGGAAAGGGTGGAAAACATTTTCAATACCATGACGGAGGAGGAGATGTGCGAGTTTATTTCGTTGATGTGGAGTATTTGGAAGGAACACAACAAAGTGGTTTGGAATGATTTTTTTTTAATATTTTGCAGGTAGTTAATATTGGAGCTACAATGCTTCAAGGATGATGGGGCAGCTCATGGTACAATAACATCAATGGTGGCACGATGGCACGAACTCAAAGACAAGGTGGGCGGGACTTTAGGCGGGAGTAATAAAAATTATGTGAATGGATATGTCGATGATCATAGGAGCAAAAGAGCGTGGAGATGGGTGGCTCATGACCATATTGGCAATCTCGGGAGGATGTAGGGACTCATGCAGAGTAGACTGGCCTGTTAGAATCACATATGCCATTGGGGTGAGGGAGATGCTTATTTGTGCAAGAGATGATCATATTGGGACAGATGCACACCTTATCACCACCAGATTGGAGAATGACATGAGAACTTGAGAAGCTATTTTAATGTGGTGATTGAAGACATCAGACAACTTTTTCATATTGAAACTAATTTTATTGTCCACTATTGCAAAGGATTCACGAATCATGCAATCCATTTTCTCTTAGGGCAACCCTTTCACATGCAGTAACAACGATTTTCATTGCTTACATGATTGAAATCACTATATTACATCTTTCCCACTAAACTCTCCTAATTTTATGTTGAGTGTGAAATTAAAAAAGTAAAAACTGTATGATAATGTTTGTATAAAGAAAAGAGAAATGTATAAAGCTACAAGTCATTACTTTAAAATGAAAGTAATACTTCGTAATGATTTTGAGATAAATAGAAAAGGAAAGTTGGTAAAATGATATTGAGGGTGTTTGGTTACTGGCTTATCAGCCAATTTTTGACTGTTTTGACCATTAATAAGCTTTTTGACCATTCCAAACAACTATTTAGGTGTTTCTTTAATAAGCTTTTTCTATTGGCTTTTTATGTCAACCAGCCAAAAATTAAAACGCCACTAAACTTAGCATTTTGCATTCGTCTGTTTCACTTGGTTCTCTAAAAATACAGATTTAACCTTCAATTGCCATGTTCAATTGTCTAATGAACTGACAAACATACTTCCATCTCTAAAAGCACAAAGACCCACTTTTGTTGATAATCTTTTAATGTATAATATATTAATAAATGTATAAGCAACGACATTCACAAAATGTAGCAATATAAGAGCATCTCCAATGCTAAAATGTGCACGATGCACATGTGGCATGAGTGATAGTCACATAAATATTAGCAAATAAATTATTTCTCTCATTTGAATGATTTTATACAAATTTTGGTAAGTTTTTTCCTGCAATGTCAACTACAATGTCAACATTTAGACGGTCTCCTCGACATTGTGGAGAAAAAGTTACTAAATCTATATAAAATCATTAAAATAAGGAGAGAAAAAATTTATTTACTAATATTTATGTGGCTATCTCTTATGCCACGTGTGCATTGTGCACATTATACCATTAGAGATGCTCTAAGAATAAAATACATTGCAATCAATAAATTCGTTTTTATTGTTATTTTTTGTTTAATGAATAAAAATAATTTAGAATAATATATCAAAATTATATCCAAAACCAATAGAAAACTAGAATAGTTAAATAAATTGAAAATTTTTCATTTCCTTGTAATTTGAGGTGACATAAATATGTAAATATATTTTTGATTTTTTTTACATGACTTTTCTTGGTATATTTTTACTTATAACTTCATTTATTAATCGAAGTATCGTCACACTAATTAATTTTATAACTTGTGAAAAATAATTTCTAAAAAAATATTACGTGTGTTAATACATTTTTATTTTATTTAGATAATTAAAAATAATAATTAATGTTCTTAAAAGTCATTTAAAAGTCACTTGCTAATTACAAACAATCATTTAACCAAACACTATTTTACAAACTGTTAATACTATTAGCTAATTAAAACAGCCAACAGAAACTGCTATCATCAATCAGCTAATACAACCAACCAACAACGAACAGCCAAATGCCAAACACCCTCGTTTTTTCTTTAAAAAACATAACTGTAGTTCGGTAGTTACAGAGTAGTATCCAAGAAATAAAGGGAAAAGGGGCAAATAAGCCCTCAAATTCATTTGACTGCTTTCCCGATTTTATTTTTAGCTGAAATTTGGTATAGATAAACTAGACTTAATGGAGAAGATCTCAAAAAAATTCCACCGAAAACCACCCCAAATGACGACGACCGGACAAAATTTCCTATATAAGAGGTGATTTGCATTTTTTTTGTTCCAGGGTAATTTGCCCTTTTCCTCGGAAATTAATGTTGCTGTTTTTAAAATCAGGGTTCCGGAATTCCTGAAACCCTAGAAACAACTAAAAAAACAACTGCAGAGCATCAGAACTCCATTCTGCAATTTTGAAAAGCATCGACCAATAAATTTGTTCAGGGCTTTCTCATCGAAAGAAAGACGGAGACAGAATGGTCTGGTTTCAGTGTGAGGACTGCGGAGACAATCTGAAGAAGCCGAAGCTGCCTGGCCACTACAGAGTGTGCTCTGCTTTCAAGGTTTGCACTTTATTTTTCCTTCCCATTTTCTAGCTATTCTTCTTCCAAAGTTTCTTTTTGAACAATTTAATTCACCAAATTATTTATTTTAGGCTTCTTTATACTTGAAGCTCATTGGTTTCATGACATCTTCGCTGCGCAGCTATCTTGCATTGATTGTGGTGAAGTGTTTAATCAGCAATCTGTGGAGAGTCACACCCAGTGCATTTCTGAAGCGGTAATTTTTTATTAGCTTTTAGCCATTCTAACATGTGTTCTGTAATGTCCTGACTCCTGACCATACTAACACTCTCATGCCCATTGGAACAGTATTGTAGAAGCCAATGCATTCTTTTACCCCTGCATTAAGTAACAATTTGATTGAGTAGCATTATCATAAGAATTATTTATTTATTAACTGGTTAGTTTTGAGTGCCAATCATAATTTCCCATCAGTTATACCATACCATTTGTTTTTGTATTGCATTCGTTGTGTGGTTCTAGTATATAAGCCTTGTTGTTGCTGAAGATGCTGGGCTAAGATTCTTGATCCATTTGATTACTGACATTGTTTTCATGTGCTCGATTTTGAAGATTCCGAGTTGGCCCTGACATCTTTAGTCTCAAGAGGTTGTAGAATTTCTTATTTAATCATTTCATTAGCGCTAATGCATCTACACGATTTGGATTGGTTTTCTATGACAAATTTTCAGGAAAAGTATGGCCCAAAGGGTCAAGCTAAAACTCCAGTAGGAAGAAATTCTAATCCCAACAGTGACACGAAAAAAAGGCCTGATGTAGATGTAAATGTTGGTTTGTCAGATCGCCCACCATGGTTTTGCAGGTATTGATCCACCTATGTATCAGAGAATGCTCTGCCTTCTTAAAATATGATGTCTTGTTTCAAAACTATTGTCCCAAAAAGGAAATTTATTTCCTCAAATTTTAATTAAAAATTTGAAATGAAGTGTATTATCTTAAAAAAATTAGAAGTGTAAAAAACAGGTCAAGTATGTAATGTTTAGTTGGATAAAAAAAGTACAATTATATCTGGTATTTGACAAAAGTTAGACCTGGCCAAAATTTAAAAGTTGTGCCTTGATAAATCATGACTTTATTGGATGGAGGGAGTCCAAACCGTCTCAAGTCTCAACTTATGGTTATGTGGGAATTAGGATGTTTTCACTTTTCAATTGGACGGAAATTGTCTGGTCAAGTTTGGTCTGTTTAAGTCTTATATGGTCTTATATGTTTAAGTCTGATTTGGTCTGATCTTAGACGGAAGTCAAGTGAAAACATCCTTAGCAAATAGAGGAACTCATTCCTTTCTGTCAAGTGTATGTGATGATTTGTGTATATGCAGTCTATGCAAGACTAAAGCTTCTAGCAAACAAACACTCCTTCTCCATGCTGATGGTAAGAAGCATAGAGCAAAAGCACGAGCTTTCCATGCAGCCAACCAACAACAGTCTGGGAAGACTGAACCAAGCAATCCGGAAGAAGTTCCAGAGAGAAAATCTAGTGAAGAACCCAATGCACTCAAACCATCTGAAGCAGATAATACAGAGTTACACTCGAACAAGAAGAGGAAGCTTGAATCATCCCAAAATGGTGCGGTCAAACAAAGAGTTGGAGAGGAAAAATCAACCAAGTTAGGAAATGGTGAAGCTGTTCAGCTGGAGAAGCAAAACGTGGGGGAAACTAACATTCATGACAAGAGATCCGAAAACATTGCAGGGGTAGAAGTAGCAGCAGCAGATAAAGTAAAGAAGATTAAGTGGAAAAAATTGATCACCTCAGCTTTGAAATCTGTATGTCCTTCCCCTTTTTTGTATTTCCTTCAAATAATTCACAAAGTTATCGATGCATTTTGGTTACACAACTACTACATATTAGGTTATTTTCACTTTTGATATTTGGTTTTCATTTTTTCCCACTTTAGTTCCACTTCGGTCTTTTTATTGACTTCTAATGAAAAACTCATCTGGTGTACCAAAAGTGGAAACAATGAAATATGTGGATCCAATGTGGAAATGACTTGATAGTCATGGGACTAAAAGTATAATATTATTTTCTTTTGAAAATACATTTTTTCTAAATTTGATAGGCATCTACATTCTCAAACAATCACATTTTGCATGTCTGTGTTACATTTGGAGCAGAATCCAGATGATGGTCTTAAGTTTAAGAAACTTAAAAAGGCGGTTCTCAAGTCTCTAAGAGAATCAGGCTACACAAATGATGAAATTAAAGTTCAAGATATTCTTGAGAAGAAAGTGAGTTGTTCCTTCCAGCTGTTTATTGTTACCTGAAGTAATGACTGGATGATTTATGCGTTTTTTTTTTGGTTTCTATATAGATTACTAAGAGTGCTAGGTTTGCTGTTGAAGGGAAGTTTGTTCGTCTTGTAGCTAAGAGCTGAATCCATGATTTCGTGGGTTCGGTGTGAAAGACGAGTTTTTGGAGATAATTCTCAGATGATTCGAGAGGTGTATTGACTATTGATCCCCGTTTTTTGTAAAACCCCATAGCTTTTCCCAGTCTCATAATTTATTTGTCAATCGGGAACTGTTGTATTGTTGAAGAGACACTACACATTTCTGCCAATGGAAAATGAGGAATCACTTTTTTTGATATTTCATTTCGAACTGAATGATAGAGGGCTAGTCCATGAAGTAAAGCGTTGTGTTTGTTTTTTATACTGTATGTGTCCGTAAAAAATCCATTACAAGTTTACAACAGAGCCATTTTATTTTTTGTAAACGATAACTGTTTCATGGCATTAAACTCTTTATACTTTCCAAAGTTTGTTAGTATAAGTGGATAACTAATACTGTCTTTGCTTAACTCTGACATTATGTAAAAATAATTTTCGCAATGGAACTAAAAAATCTAGCGAGTGGTGAATCCCTAGAGTGTGGTGAAGGCTGGTGGCTTATGAGTTATGTGCTCGTGAGACTGTGCATGCAGTGCGGCGAATCGGCGATCGATGATGGATGGACCATAGAGTGCGGTGGACGGTTGTCTCTTCTTCTCCTATATCAGCAACGGATGTGGATCGTATTAAGTCTATCTTTGCTCATCGCTTGTGACACTTGGCCAATAAATAAATGGAATTGCGCTATACAATGATGAAAATTTAATTTTAGAACTTGGATCTATTTAAAAATAGTTTTGAGTCTAAAAACCTTTACTCATCGTATCTTCAAATTTATTTATTTATTTATTTATTTATTATGTATGCAATATTTGTGTCATACAACACCATTACCCCACATCTATCACAGAGAGACTGCATTCGCATGCCTCATAATTTCATAAACATATAATAAAAAAATGTCATATGAAAGATAATGTACGGAGTAATAGTTACTACGTATGATTTTTTTTTTGTAAAAACTGAATTTAAAATAAAAAAGTTGTAGAAATTTTAAAAAGAAAGATTTTTTTATTTGAGTCCCATGAACTGATTTCAGATTTGCTAGCTTCCTTCTCATCATTTCCGACAAGGGAAAGCCGCCTGCTGAATGGGCGATGGCTTAGAATAACCATCCCTTTATGCTTTAAAGCTATGATTAATTAGTAGTATAAGTTCAATGCCCTGATCCCAGATAGTTCGGATCAAGGTGCTAGCAACGATGAAGGATGAGTAACAATCCGTACATTGTTCTAAATTTTCTTTTTAAAGGATGGATCTTTTTAAAGGATGGACAGGCATATTTATTTTTGAATGGAGCAATTGAATTTTGGATAAATGAATTCTTCATCACCCCTGACTAAAAGGGATGCCTCTATTTTTATTGAAGCAGTGAAGGAATCTACATCATTCATGAGTGCGTTGTATAAACAAACATATACAACTACTATAAGCACGCATATACATACAATTGGATGATGTCTCTCTCTCACTCTCTATGTCTCTCTCTGTATAGATCATTCAGGCACACAATTCACCAAACTGGAGGATCATACTTGTAAAGAGTGTTCTTCAACCCCATGACAGTACAGCTCTAGTAGGGATAAAGTTACAGTAGCAGAATCACAACAACAATCAACAGCACTACAGAACATGCCATTGCCTGTCATGCATTAGAAACCAAAATTTTAGCCATAATAACTACCACCTACCTGGGTTTTTTAAGAAACAGAAGTCATCTTTATGATACTACAAACAACTTTACAAACAATACTCTTCTTTTCTGCGGTGGAATTATATAAAAACATTCTAAAGTGCAGATAAAAGTATTATACTCCATTTTGGAACATTCCACTTTTAATGTCTTTTTATATATATAAAAGATGAACTTTGTTCGTCATCACGCTTCACCACCCACGGTTCCACCATAGGGTCGTTGGTGTTGTGATTCTCGGAACGTTTGTTGCGGAACCCGCCCAAGGGGAGAAACCGTAATGTAACAGCGCACTAGCATACAGACCCTAAGATTGGGCAGTATGTATCGCAAGGAGGATATTACGGACCTGCTTCGCAGAGGACCTCAGTACATGAGGAATTGACCAACCATTCGGTTGGCCTTGGTAGGGAACATCCCTACCCCTCAATTGGTTGCCAGTAATGTCTTGTTAACTATAACGGTTTATAATGAGAGTGAACCAAAAGCTCATATGCTTTTTCTTAATTAGTAACATAAACAAAGTGACAGGACCAAAAACAGACGTCTCATCTTCACATCTGTGCCCAAATGAACTGATACAGTATCTTTGGGGGTGCAATCCTTTAAGATTTGTTGTGATTTTCGCTAATTCTGCCTAAAATGACATTTTAGTAAAACCATTTATGATTTCTTGCTATTTTGGTCAACTCTTAAAAAATTACTGATTTAATCACAACTTTACATAATTGATGTAATATTAGCCAATCCATGAAGATGCTCCAGACCTAAAAAATGGCGCCACTAATGACCGATTTCAAACCATTATTAAAATAGTGACCTTAGAGTTCTTACCGCAATTGCAGATGCAGCCAGTCCTGCACGTTCTCTGGGATCCCTCCGGTAGTAATTACCAAGATAGAGTATTGCAGCGTAGTACCACATAAATGGGCATACAATTCCAGAAAGAAATCTAGCATCAACAAGTCAAATATGAGGTGTAAAAGAAGATATTCCATAGCTTGTTTGCCTCTGGGTTTTGGACGGAAGGGTAGGAGAGGGCGATTTTTAATTTTTACACATTCAGATAAAAAATAGAATATAACAACTATGTAAAAGTACATGTTTTAACTAATCATATAGTTATTTCTAGTCTTAAAATAAAAAATACAGATAGATTACTAAAATTATAAATTGATCCTCCCCCATCCCTTCCCTCTGAAATCCCTGAACCAAAAAAGCCCCTAAGGGAAAGCAACTAGGGAGGGATGTGAAGTGCTTACGAAAACCATCCAATCCCACAACCAAAGCAAGGAAGAGGTCTATCATATAAACTTGCTTGACCGTCTTCTACACTTCTTAACGGACTGTACTTTCCCTTGTTACGGTCATCCCCTTTTGCTCCTTGCCCTATATATACAGTAACCACACTCAGTAATCAGCATTCTTGACTCTAGTAAGAATTTAAAAAACTAATATAGTCAACCATATGACCACACCATGCAAAACAATAATAGAATTCAAAGCAATCTTATAATAGAATGAGATTATATCATTTTTGTTTGACTTAAGAAAAACCGTTGCTAAAAGGGACATCTATATTAATGAGCTGATAAGGTTACATCAAATAACTTTAAAGGTGCATTGGAATTTGGATGCATAAATGGAAAATTTGCTCCAGTGCTCAAACAAGTGAAGACCTTTCCTACATTTATTAGGGGCCCTTATTCATTGCTTAACCTACTGTTCTTAGTCAAGAAGTGGGAAACTTAAGTATGATTAGAAGGCTCTAGACTCTAGAGTACATGTAACAAGCTCATTAACAGTACTCATTCTGTGCCTTTATGAGAGATACACTTCCCTTATTTGAGATCTCTGATTTTTTTTTTTTGATCGTGATCTCTGAACTTTTTAACTTTACCACTTTATACTTTTATCTATGATTTCATCTTTTACTTTTTGTGGACCTATACCAATTTTATTCTCTTTTTAGAATGTTAAAATGGAAAAATATCAACTAAATCTTTTTCCCCATAAAAATCATCTTAATCGTGTCAAAAAAATCATTTTAGACATCACGGAGAACTAATCATCAACTGTAACAAAGAAACAACCTTTAAACAATGAATAGTACCGAGATGATGGCCTCAAAAGATCAAAATGCTTGTCAGAAACAGATCTCGCCAATTCAACGCCATCTCTACTTTCTCCATCCTCAAGAGTAGTTTCTGTTTATAGAGAATGTAGTCTGAATCTATATTCACAACAAGGTCTCTACTTATCCCTTACATATATCTTCCTCTCTTAATATATATCTGTAACAGAACAGGTAGGAACAAAGGTTCTATAGAGGATGCTTTAACAAACCGTTTTACCGGAACTCTTCTTTTACTTGCTACCTTATCTTAGTCAACCAATCATTCATATTCAACAACAGATAAGCATAAGCGCTCTTAGCTAAGATACAAACATGTATCTTAATTGTCATCTGTATCAGAAAAGATTGAGACACGGATGCTATGTTTATTTCAATTGCTAATGAATATGAATATCAAAATTTTTATCTCTATCAGAAAAGATTGAGACATGGATGGTATGTTTACATCGAGTACTTTACACATCCTGGATGTACTGGAAAACAAACAGTCCATAATGATAGAAAGAACCATTTTTAAGACCTCAATTTTTGAGAAATTATGAACAAGAGCACAATAAGGATGCATCATAATTTGTATTTTTATTGTCATCTCTATCAGGCATTCAGACAAGATTAAAACAGGGACGCTATATTTATTTAGATTGCTAATAAGTACCACTCTTTCCATTTCTAACAATTTTTCTAATTAAAGCTACAACCTTGAGTACTAGAGTAAACAGCCCAATGTAACAGCACTAACCAATTTTTATGACATCAGTTTTTTAAGAACTTGAAAAAAGAACGAGCCCAAAAAGAATGATGCAATATCATTTTAGTTAAATTAAGTGAGGACATGAAGTATAAGTCAGATGTGGAATCAATTTAATTACTTGGATCCATTTATAATTCTTGGGAAATGATGTTTTCAGTTTGTTGAGGCAGCCCCTGCTAATGTCTCTTTACTATACCTGCACACAAGGTTATGAAAAAGCTCTAGAACACAACCGTGAATTGCAAAAATAAATATAATTTTAAGGGAATAAATAACAGCTCGTAAAAGTACTTCATGAAATACATGAAACAGTCCTTGAATATTAATCACAGTGACTGATTTAAGGTTGTTGAACGTTTATCATAGCATCGCCTTAATGCTTCAAGTTCATATCGTTGTAATAAATAATGTGCATTCAATTAAGAGATCCGAGAAGAACAACTAGAACCACATAAACAAACAAACAAACAAAAACCATATCTTCCATTGCTCAAGAAAATACTTATTGCTCTTCAAAAACGGGAAATTGTACAAAAGAGAAATGCCAATCTATAGAAGACCAAAGAAGCGACAGAGAGCGTCTACCAGCAATTTACATTCAATTAAAAAAGAAATCCCATCATAACCTACTAATTCCCTGTCATCTGTGTGTCCTAACACTTTGCAGAAAAATCACCAATGCAAAAACTATGTAATTCCACCCGAGTTAGAGCTAAATCAGATTCA